ATTTTTGAAATGAGGAAAAGTATTTTTAATTTTAACATGAAAATTACTTTGCATACAGACTATTCAAAACAAATACTCAAAATATTCTTGGACAAATCTTTATTTTACTTTATTAAGAATACTTCATTAAAAATACGATTTTTTGTATGTGAAAGACTTATAATATTAACCAAAGGATTGCCAAATTTTGTGAAGATATACACACTATACTGAAAGTTTGAAATATTAAATCTATAACGACTTTAAATGAGTACAAAGAGGTCACATGGTTGGTCAAATTGACCGAGCCCATGTTAAGAGAGTTAATATAGTAGGAAAATGTGCTTGAAAAGAAATTATAACATTTTTACATACTAAAGATGTTAATTCAAGATAAAAACTGTTAGCTATGCCTAACTTTATTAAAACATATCACAATTATTTATGAAATGTTTTCAACAAGCATATTCAAAGTAGTAGCAGAAAAGTCTGATTAACGAAACACTACAAAAAAGATGAGGTCCTAACAACTCCACTACAATTAAAATAACTAACATCTATTTGTAAAATAACAAAGTAGAAGACAGTAGGACTACTTACTGATGCTTAGAGATTGCAACAGCAGAATATATTCTTCAAAAAAAATTAATTAGGAACAAAAAGAATGTCAGAAGTACTAACCATCATTCCTCATACACAGCAGCTGTTTTAAAATCTGTCGAAACAAAGGTCGTTCCTAAAATATCAAAATATTTTTCTGAAGTACACCAACTTTTGACTGTCTTTCATAATATCCTATTTTTGTTTGTTTTCATGAATTTTAAAATTTTAATAGTCATATCTTGGTATATTCAGTATCAAATTAATCATGATTTTCACTAACAAAAACTTAATACACATACAATATATTGATTTTGTGATACACAGTTGCTTCTTCCAAACTCACCTTTATACAAAACAAATATCACAGATCAAACTCATTTGCTATTGAAAAAAAATTGTAATTACATATCATTTTCATATATAGCAATATTCAAAAAACTATCTGCTGAAAATGTAAACATTTTACATACAAGTATTAATATGCTACTATATAACAAAACTTTGAAAATTTTAAATGTATTAATCTTTGGCATAAATTCTGCTATTAGCTAAAGTAGAAAATATCTACTTCAGAAAGACAAACAACCTACAAAATTGTATATAAAGGGTTAGTTAGCTGTGTAATCTCCAGAGATATTGTTGCTAAGTTTGAATAAGTTTATAAATTATCTTCTTATCATTCATTAACACATATACAACATCCTGACATATGTTAACTAATATTAAACTAATGATGAAAAGTTTACTATTTGATATTATTTTTTCATTACAATCCAATCATAAATTCACATCTTGCACAATGTACAACTTAAGAATAAGTATCACATATATTTTGCCTCAGTATTTACCACACTTGCTTTAACCATTTATGCTTCATGAAGTATTAATTAGCCTATATATTTTCTACTTTCAGTCAGTTCTAGTACAAAAACTGTAAATTACGTATCAATATGAATAATAGTGAATTGTTGACAAGATTTTCTGTGATATGTGTTAAAAAATTTAATTCCTCATCCCATTTTAGTTCTTATTTTGTTTGAAACTTGGTTTTAAATGAAGTACTCTTTTGCTGAATCAATCATAAGCATAATCAATACAAATTCAAATACTACACCTCAATACTAATGCACAAACACTTCATTTTTCTGTGCATGACTTCAGACAACTGAAAACTACTTTATTTCAAACCTGATTTGTTTCTTCATTTAAGAGAAAGAGACAAACTTTATAGGTGAATACGTTGCTCTTTGAATGAATTTGAGGATGCAGTAAGTTTTAAAAGACTTAAAAGTACAAAATCAGATCACTTTTCTAATTTAAGACAAGAACAAAAGAGAAAACCTAAAAAATTCTTACTTTAGGGTCAGTTTTCCAACACTGTTTCATTAAATCAGCAAACTTTGGTGGACATGAGCTTGGTATTGTCAATCTCTATATGAAAAAAATGTATATCTAATAAAAAAAAAACATAGCAAAACAGTATGAATAAAGCAATTATTTAAATAATAATTTAAAATAAATCAAATTTATTTAGATTTTACCTTTCTAAGGAAGGTCTCTGTTTAAAAGTGTAAAACTTCAGATAATTATCTTCCATATAAAAAGTTATGGGACCTTTTTCATGAATACCTTTTATGATGACAGATAAACTAACATTTTACCGTTTGAGTTTGATGTTTTCATCTAAACTGAAGATTTCATTGTAATTAGCATTCAAAATGTTTATAAAATAATTTTGTGGATAACCACAGAAAACATGAAAGGTCCAATATAACAAAATTACTGCACTGTGTTATATGAGCAGTTTTATATATCATATCTGTATGATAAAATTTCCAATTCTCTAAGTATTATAATAAAAATTGAGATTTCTTGCAATCTCATTACAGAACAATAACATCCCACTGAAACAGTTACATTTGTAAAAAGTAGACAGAATTATACTTTAAAGTTCTTAAATAGCACCTAACAATATTATAAATACTATGGTGGTTCATTTATAAAAAAAATTATTTATGGTTTTCAAATTATTTTCACAATAAATTTAAAATATATTCATTATGTTTTCTTTGAGACTCATAATGGGACATAATAGCAAAAAGTAAGTTAACATGTTTCTTCCTAATAGCTAGCTTCCAATTGCAATACTACAAGCATCTTCAAGTTTGTATGTATAACTGTTTAATTTAGAAAATATGTTTGATTAGGGAACATATAGAAGTTGAATACAAAAAACTGTTTTGTTAAACAGGCATTGTAATAATGTTAAAGTTTAAATAAATTTTGTTGTTAAACCTAGTGGTTGACATCTAGTGGTAAAAAGTGTATAAATAAAAATTAAATAATATTAAACACACACATGCCTATTTACATTCATAGATAAAAAATTAAAAACCACAGAGATTAAAAATATGAAAAGTAGTACACACACACATATATATTATTGTATATACCTAAGTACATCTAGAAGTAAAAATACAAATCACAGCTCATCTGCAAAGTAAACTGTACACGGCTTCCCCTTTTTTTGTTGAACAGATACACTGAGTGGTCACAAGTAAATAGACACCTAATTTTTCGTCATTTAACTAATTTATGCTAACTAGTTTGTGTTCACAGAGCACTATATAAATGAAAATGGTCCGCACACTAATTATCTTGTGCTACAACATGCTGAGAACCCAAGGTTCTCTCGAATTGGCAGATTTTGTTAGAGGAAGGATAGTTGGTCAAGCAGATGGTGGAATAAGTCAGTGGCAAATTTCGCAGAATTTGGGAATCCCGCTTTCGACAGTCAACAAAATCCTCATGCAGTTCAGGAAACACGGCAAGGAAACAACTGAGCAGTGTCCGGGTTGTCCTGGTCCATCGGAGAGGACAAAAAGGCTGTCAAGAGGAGCATCAAAATGGATCCCAGATTAACGACTGCAGAAGTGGCCAAAGTTGGTGGGATGAGCCCGAAATCTGTTCAACAGATTGGGTTATCGTTGCAGAGCAGCTAGACAGAAGCCCTTATTAAGACCTGCCAACATAGTCAGACGAAAGAAGTGGGCAAGTGATATGATAACCAAGCTCTGGATTTTTGGAAAACCGTATTGTTCTCTGGAGAATGCCTCAACAAGAGTTTTGGCTCAACAGATTGCAGCCAACTGTGACGCATTGTGGTTTCAGGGTGATGGTTTGGGGAGCTGTTTGGGTTGGTGGGAGATTGAGCTTAGTGGAGTGCGTTGGCAACATAAATTTTGCAAAATATGTCGAAATATTGGAGGAAGGACTCTTGCCACTTTATTCCATGGGTTTCGTGGCCAAGAACACAACGTTGTTCCAGGAAGATGGAGCACTGTGTCACACTGCTAGAAACACCCAAAAGTGGCAGGAAGAAAATGGTATCCAGAAGTTGCCCTGGCCTAGCTAATCTTCTGACATGAACCCCATCGAAAACCTCTGGGCCGTACTCGACCGGCAAATCAAGAAACAACCAAAAAAAAACCAACTTTGAAGAGCGATCTACTCCAAGTTTTGAAGTACGAGTGGGTCAAAATCCCACAATCTAAAATTGACGAGATGATCCTCACGATGCTCCAAAGGATCAACGAACTCCATGAAGCGAAAGGAAGATCTACTAGATATTAATTAAATTATAAATATATAAATTCATGTGAATATGACTGAAAAATTTCATTTTTCTGAAAAGGTGGTGTCAATTTACTTGTGACCATGCTGTGTACTTGTGTCTTCCTTCATCAATAACCTTTGTAATGTCATTTATGACTTAAAGTCAACTTTATAATCATAAAAAGTCATGAGCATATAAAAAAAGTCACATTAACTTAATTTTACCTGGTAATTCAAGTACTAGGAAATTTGGTATCATGAAAGGTTTGGCTAGTACAGCAAAAAAGATAACATCTATAGATCTATTAAAAAAAACAAAAATGTATTATGTATCTTGAATGAGTGTACGTAGACAACTGGTATCCTAAACTCTTCAGAATAGAAACAACTTACCAACCAGCACCTAAAACAGGTGAAAATACAATAAAAGCAACAATGACTAAATACAAATTTCTCTCTATCCTATATACTAAAAACAAATGTAAAACTTTATTAAAGAACGTTTTTGAACATGGCTATAAAGTTAGCTTTAAGTCACAAATGATATTACAAAAACAACTGATGAAAGTTTAGACATAACTAACAATTCAAGGGAAAAAAGAAGGCTATGTAGAGCTTACCTTGCAGACACAATAAGAACTATGTGAGTAAAACTCTGCACAAACATGAGTGGGCAAACACAATTATACTGTATGTTTAAGTAATTTTGAAAAGCTTGTTGCTAGTGATATTTTGTATGAAGTCATCTTGTGGTATCAAACTCACTTTGTCTGAGTTGAAAACAACTACACTAAAAGACAATATGTCAAGTCTCTTATGATTACAAAAGTCAAATCAAAACCAGAAAAAAGCATGAAACCCAGAGTTCAAAAATTATATGATCGGTTCTGTGTGGCCTGACTTATTCTCTCCAACTTATACTTATAATTAGTCACTGAAGTGTCACTTATTTATGCACATAGGTACTGATATTGATGTACGTGCATAAATGTAATGTTTGTGTACGTGCATATATATATATATATATACAGACACACACACACAAATAGTTTTATAGGTTACCAGTTTTTAAACTTTTATATATATGTGTGTAATATTATTAGTTATTTATATTTGCATAATTTTAATTTACAACTATATGTCAATGCCTGAACACTAGCTCTAATAATACCTACTTTGCAAAATGCAGTTACTTGTATCCTACCTATTGTGTTCTTTAATGAAACGTGTTTTAAATTAAAACAGTAACTTATGTAAATCTGAAAAGGCTCTAATACAGGAGTTAAAAGCTTTCTAATACAAAAAAGCTGAAAAAAACTGTTAATGTGAAGTAAATCTATAGTATTTACTTTGTTAATACTTTTTACATATTAGAAACTGCCATATAGCTTCTAAGTTTTCCTAGGAACTATTATTTAATAATTATCTCAATCATGTACAAGAATGCTTAAGTTTTTAAAGTACATAACATTAAATTCCCAACATTATAATTCCTCAGCTAGGCTTAGTTATGTTTACTGTACTTATCTCACTATGCTTATGATAATATGTGACATATGAAATAATTCTTTACAACATTTTATAATATCATGCTGATTTTTCATGACTGAATATGTACATTCTATAGATGGGTTCCAAGATAAGACATACAAAAACAATTCTATTTTCTATTCCTTAAAGTTTAATCTCAATTACATTACATTTCATTCTTTAAATAGTCCCCTTTCCAGTAAGAATTTTTGTTTTCTATTTGTTACATCTTTTACTGAAATTACAGAAATGTAGTAATATGCATTAATTTTCTGCTAAGTTCATGTCATATTTGTCTGACAGCTATATATTCTATAAAAAAGCTATTTTATATAATAATAATATAGAAGAGATACATGACTACTGATCAGATTGATCTATCTGAAATACAGTTGTTAATTCACATGTCATTTCAATTAGCTTGAAAACATGCCTTATCACAAGACCCTAAACTAGGTTTTTTGGCACCTTTTCCTCAGTATTCCAAAAACACAAATGTACATATTTCATTTTTTTACACCTATTAAAGCACATCTTTGTTTTTTATTTTGCTAGATAGTTCCAAGTTCAATAAAAACTTTTTTGTTGTAATCTATAAATTCAATTAAACTTCACGTTATTATTATCAAACAGTTTCTAGCCTTACAAACTGTAATGTTTATGTAGTACAAAGAAAAAGTTGAATGTCATCACTGTTGACTAACTTGAAGAATTCAAAGTACTTAACTATATATTTACTTCTTTAAGTGAATTTTAGTTCTGGATTTAGGATATGTTTTCTTTTTTAATTTGTGCATTTATAGTATTGAAAATACCATCAACATCAATAATAAAAATTAAATCCTGTTGTCAGTTGTATCAGGATGGTGACTAGGAAAACAAAATTCAAAGACTTCTCAGAACTAATATGAAATCTACACAACAATCCCACTCTTAAGAAAACTATTATTTATACCAACCTTTCCAGCATCAACCACAACTGTTTAAGTCAATTATGTGTAAATTTAATGATTCAATTAAACTTCACATTATTATTATCAAACAGTTTCTAGCACTCATATGCATGGTATAGTATTTTTGCAACTGTATTGCCCCTCTCTGTGTTTAGTTTTTATTTCCCTATATTCTATATAAAGACTTTTTATGCAAATTCAAAAATATATTAAAACAATGCAATGGTAATTTTTCTGAAAATAGTGGTGAATAAATGTAAAATGTGCAGTCAACACAATCCCTTGAATCAAAGCATATATGCAATACAATTGTCTACTGGGCAGTTTACAACCATTTTTTGTCATTCCATGTGTTATTTCAATAAGGAAAATTGCAATTAAATACATTCTTTACAACAACATTTTATAAATTCATGCTGGTTTGTTATGACTGCACGTGTATATTCTGTAGATGGAATCCAGCATAAAACATACAAAACAAAATACTTTTCTACTGTTCCTAAAAGTTTAATCTCAGTTACCTTACATTTCAATCTTTAAGTATTCCTCTTTCCAGTAATAATTTTTGTTCTCTATATTTTACATCTTCAGTAGTCAAAGTGTTGTCATCATGTGAGGGTAGACTAACTGATGTTGATATCGATATGAAATTTTAGGAATTGCAAACAAAATTAACATTTTCCTTGTAATATACTGTTGAAAAGAAGCATTTTGATATATACACTTTTTTTTCTATGATTAACCAATGAGGAGAGCATGACAGACAGACATTTGGTTATTATATATATATAGATGTGTTTTTTACAAAGTACACAATTTTTGGGTCATATATAATATCCTACATATAAAAGACATTAAACAAGATGTCAAAAAAAAAAAAAAAGAAAGAAAGAAATTGTATTAAATTCTTTCACAAACCTCATCCTTTTCAACCACAGCCCATGCAATCTGGAACCCTTCAATACCTTTAAAAGGCACTTCATGTGTGAGTAACTCCCACAAGACCACGCCATATGACCAAATATCACAGGATTCTGAGGATGGAAGGCATTGAATCACCTGCAGCAAACAAAGCAAATATTATCAGTGCTTGCATATTTCTATAAAAATATACTAGTCACTTCATACAAGTCATAAACATCTGTGTATACAAGCAAAAGAAATTGAAGTATAAAAACTGTACATATCATTGCAATGAAATTATAAAGGTAATGGAATAGAAACCTATATCAAATAATAAAATTCACTGTTTACAAATCACACAAACCAACGAACAGTGTTACACAAGAAACGCATCTGAATACCTCTTGAACATGTGACACAGCTGGCCCAGCATACTTTGCAAGGCAAATCTGAGAGAATAAATACAATGATACAACAGGTATATAGATTAGTACAGTTCAAGTGGGTCAAAATGACCAAAATTAATTAATTATATGAATATGAGAAGAAAGAGATTAAGATCAAAAACTGATACATGAAATATCACAGTTCTCGAACATAAATGATCTATACACCTGGAAAAAAGTTAAGCACCCCCGTGTTTTTTTCAAGTGATTCAGATTCGACGTTCTTGTGACTGATTATAAATTACCATTCAATCTAAACGTGTTTATCAAATGAAATTATGCATTATTGGGCACAAGAAAACAAGATTATCACCGTAAAATAAC